TGGTCCTAAACCCCAAAACCCCAAAACCCCAAAACCCCGTGTAAAAAAGATTCGAGCATTATGAGATTATTTTGAAATAGTATTAAATTCAAAGTACAAATTGGATGATAATTATCGCTTGAATAAATATTTAAGAAATAAAATGAGTGAAGCCAGTCTCAGGATTTAGGACCAGCCTGAATAATAAGGTAAGGTAAACTTAACTACCCTTTATACTTAAATTTAGTTAATTACTCTTCTGCTACTAAGCTTCCAAACATAGACACTACCAAAAAAGCGTCAGAAAAATAAAAATTTATAGAAATTCTTAATGATTAGTCACCTCATTTGCCCATAGCATCTCCACTTTTAAAAGATGGTAAGTAATTCAGCTTTTCCGCCTTTTCTCTTCTCTAGATATCTTACTCTAATTTTAGATGAAAATTAGAATCAACTTGGCCACCAACAAACATAGAGATTGAAAACTGCAGACGGTGATAGATAAGGTTCTTAGACTTTGCTAGTTTCAGAGAAGAAAACAGTTGATAATCACGAAGAGGAGAAGAAAGATGAGGAAAAAAAGAAAAACCCTATACTTGTAAGAAGTTTTATCATTAATCCATGTCTGCAGTAGTCTGATTATATTTAAATAGGTGAAAGTCGATAAGTTTATGAATGGCTGGATTTTTCAAGGAGTGATGACTGTCGTTACGATCTATTCTTTATTTGGAGACGACGTTAGATAATTGGCTTTCACTAAAGATGCTGATGATACATTCAACTACATGACTTCAGTTTCATTGGCGCTATTCATATTGGAACTATTGCTAGCTTGTATTGCTAAAGATGACTATTGGTTAGGATTTTATTTCTGGTTGGATGCAGTGTCAACCGCATCACTAATTACAGATATCAGCTGGATTATGAACTAAATTTTGGGAACTGGTGATGGTGGAGCTTCCAATGCACAGCAAGCTGCAAAGTTAGCCAAGGCAGGTAGAGGTGCCAGAATCGGAACGAAAGCAGGTAGAGTAGCAAGAGTTATCAGACTGATTAGACTTATCAGAATCGTTAAGCTCTATAAAACTGCTAATAACGCTCTCGCTGCAATAGGTGATGATCCTCTAGAAGAGGAACTCAAAAGGGCCAAGGATTTAAAAGATAAGCAAAAACTATCTTAATAATAGTAAAATAAGGTTGGTGCTGATAATTAAGGTCAGGATATTCAACATGGACCTGTCAGCACTGAAGCAAATAAGGCTCATAATACAAATTCAAATCATGATGATGAAAAAGTAAAGGGTAAAACAGTTAGAGTCGCCCCAGAAAAAAGCAAAGAACCCTCGGTTGCTAATTTCATTCCACAAGAGTCAAAAGTTGGTAAAAAATTGTCAGATCTTACAACCAGAAGAGTTATTGTTTTGGTTCTTGCCATGCTCATTTCAGTCCCTGTTTTCTCAGATGATACTTACCTTGATGACAATAACAGTTATGATGGCGCTATGCAAGTCCTTTAAGTGTTTTCTCCAGGTGAGGAGGGTTTCAATTTATTGTTCAAGTCATTTATTGAACAGTAAGTTAGACTTAATCAACCACTTATTCTTGCCAACTGCAAGAACATCACTTGGGAATCAGGTATTGATGTAAGTTCAATCGAATATTAACTTAACGGCTTATATCTGATTAATTTTTATAGCCCGCAGACTTAAGAGATACAGAGCAGTAAATTGCAGCTACTGGAGCTGATCTTGAATATGTTGCAATCTATGATATCAGATATCAAGTATAAGTATAGTCAGGTCTGAGTATTGGAAACACTTTCTTTGTGTGTATAGTCCTTGCTGGAGGCGCCTTACTATTTACTTCATAGTGTAATGATCTTGTCGTGAATCCTATTGAATAAATGATCAAGAAAGTTACCAGAATTTCCGAAAATCCTTTGCTTGCCGCCCAGGAAGAAGAAAACGAAGCTCTTGCTATGGAAAAAGTTAAAGAGGAGATGATGAAACAAAAGAAGGGAGGCAAGAAACCAAAAAAGAAAACTGAAGGTCCAATGGAAACTGTAGTCCTGGAGTAAACTATAGTCAAAATCGGAGCTCTCCTGGCTCTTGGGTTTGGAGAAGCTGGTTCAAAGATTATTGCTTAAAACATGGCGAGTGGTGGTGAAGTTAATCCTATGCTCCCAGGCTAAAAAATTATTGCCATCTTTGGGTTCTGTGATATTAGAAATTTTACTGATGCAACTGAGGTTCTTTAAGAAGGTGTCATGCTATTTGTGAATGAAATAGGAGAAATAGTGCATGGAGTAGTCGATTAATTTTCAGGGGCAGCCAATAAAAATATCGGAGATGCTTTCCTGCTGGCTTGGAAAATTCCTGATGAAGATGTCGATAGAGATGAAGAAAATGACACAGTTGAATTGATTAAGACCAATAGAACTAGATAACTCTGTGATATGTCTGTTCTCTCCTTTTTGAAGATTATCTCAGCCATTAAGAAATCAAGAAAGCTTGTCAAGTACAAGGAACATGCTGGTCTCAATTTAAGAATGCCTAATTATTCAGTTAAGATGGGATTCGGTCTTCATGTTGGTTGGGCCATCGAAGGCGCCATCGGTTCATTCTACAAAATTGATGCATCTTATCTATCTCCTAATGTTAACATGGCTTCACGTCTTGAAGCTGCCACCAAGTAGTTTGGTGTACCTCTTCTTATAAGTGGTGAACTCGTCGGAGCAATGACACCCTTTGCTGCTGAAAAGATGAGAATGATCGATAGAGTAACTGTCAAGGGAAGCATTGAACCACTAGGTAAGTTTTAATCTCATTCAACAATTTTAGATCTCTATACATGTGATGTGAACTTTGATGATCTACCTTTAGATCCCTATGAGCACAAAATTAGCAGAAAAGAGGCCAAACTTCGTAGAGTGAAAGCTAGAATTGCTAGAGATCGTTACAGACAATTAGCCTTTGATGGTTAGATCTAAGTTGCAGTCAAGTTTGAAACAGATAAGGATTTGATCGAGATGAGAAAAATGTACTCAGATGTAAGTTATAATCCAATTCAAGAATTTGCTAATTTGCTATAGACATTCTTTGAGGTCTTCAGATAAGCATTCGTAGAGTACATCAAGGGAAACTGGAAAGCAGCAAGAGATATATTTGAGACTGTTGAAGAACATAAGAAAGCGATCGACTATCCCACACGCAATTTATTAGCTATTCTAGAAGAGGCTCATTTCCAACCTCCTTCTGACTGGGAAGGGTATAGAATACTTACTGAGAAATGAAGAGGAACTTATAAGCTTATTAAATATTGTTAAAATTAATTAAGATTTCTAATTACTAACATCTATTCATTTTCTATCTCTTCGAAATCTGTCTCTGCTATTTGCAGCTCTATTGTCACTTCGTTGTGGACCTCTCTCATCTCTATTCCTAGATCTAGATCTTTTCTGCAATCTATTATCTCTATCATCATTTTTGTTGACATTTTTTTCATTGAAGCTAGGCTTTATTCTATCTCTATCTCCTCCAGTATTCTCCTTCTCAATTCTGTTGCTATCTCTTCTCTCTACTCTTAATTTATCTGTAGATTCTTCAGCTTTGCCTTGTCCTCTGCCATTATATGCTTATCCTACAGCTCTTCTATCTTCTCTTTTCTCATCAATATCTCTCAAATCTCTTAGAGTATTTAATACATTATGCTCATCGTCCCTTCTACGAATCTCACCTTTGTTTCTATTAGAGTAATCCTTAGGATCGTCTCGGTCATTATTTCTTTGACTTTCTTGTCTACTGTAAATACTTAAATCTATGTAATCTCCTATGACAAATCTATGCTGCTACAAAGTCTCTTTATACTCTAGATTTCTTTGCCCTTGGAATACAGCTCCCACAAATTTTCGCCTGTATTTGCCATTGAAGTCAGGATAAATGAATGAGAATTGAAGATCTGCTTCTTTTTTGCGGGCATTTTCAACTTCCTTTCTCACACAATCTGCCAATTCACCCAAAGTGGCATCCATCCATGTGTATATCTAAATTTCATCCTACTCAGGCACTTTTCCATCAAGGAAATCTTCTAACATATGCCTACCGTTTTCCTTAACAAACACTCTTAGCAAAAAAGGGCAAGTCTTCTCTCTATCTACTTTCTAGTGCTGATATAATCCTGGTCCTCTATTTCCTTCCCCTTGGTTTCCTTGATTTCTATCTCTTCTCATTTTAATGTTATTTGAAATGATTTTATATTTTGACTTAATCTTTTGATGAAATGATCATAAATTATTGCATTGGGGTTTTGGGGTTTTGGGGTTTTGGGGAGATCGGAAGAGCACACGTCTGA